GAGCCCCGCATCGGGCTCCCTGCTCAGCAGGAAGCCTGCTTCTCCCTCTCCCACTCCCCCTGCTTGTGTTCCCTCTCTCGCTGTCGCTCTCTCTGTATCAAATAAATAAAATCTTAAAAAAAAAAAGAAGTAGGGTATGTATCCCCTCCCCTTGAATCTGGACCCTAAGACTGTATGACCAATACAGAAGTGATGCTGTGCCAGTTTCCAGGCCTTAATGAAACTAAAAATGTCTGCTTCCTATCTTTTGGGATGCTTCCTTTTGGAACCTAGCCAGCACATTGTGAGGAAGCCGAAGCAGCTCCCTGGAAAAGCAACATGCAGGTGTTATAGCCAACAGCCCTGGCTCAAGTCTCGGCTGATAGCCAGTATCATCCCCCAGACATCTGGAAGAGCCTTCATATGTTCCCTGTTGAGGCCCAGACATCATGGAGCAGAGGCAAGCCATCTCTGCTCTGTCTTTTCTGAATTCCTGACCTAAAGACTTCATTAGCATAATAAAATGGTTGTCGTTTTTAAGCTACTTATTTTAGGATGGTTTGTTATACAGCAAATAACCACAACACTACAAAAACACTAAAAGAAATAAAGATAGTCGTGGCAATGGCAATGTGCCACCTAGAGCTCCTTCAAGAGCAACTGCTTGCTGTAAGGAGCACATATGGTTCAGAGTCCTACTTGCAATCTCTCTAGATCCAGAACAATATTCATTCCAAGGTTATGCTGATCCTCCCATGCCTGCCTTGGCTGCACCCCATGACAGAGCATGGGGCAGCAGGGCCAGCCCCTCCTGCCCGACGCAGTGCTCCCTCTAATGAGCCACTCTGGCTGACCTACACAAAACTTCCTTGGAACTATGCTACAGTCTGAAACTCTTCCTACTCAGTACCCTCTTCCTCTGCCCTCTCCTTTCACAGGTATAGACCTGCACTATGGTCTAAAGCTTCTTCATGTCTATCCTACTCCTTCCTCTTTGTTCTTCCCAATGAATCTCTTGCATATCTGATTCCATTTTACATCTACTTGCACATCTTTTGACACATAAAGCTATTTTGTAATAAATCCCTGTTCTTTTGATGTAAACACATAGAAAAACAATGATATCTTCCCAGAAACTGCTCATTGGTACAAATACCAAAAGCAGAATAATGGACCCCAGTATACAACATTTATATATTTAATGACTCTTTCCTTTGTGAGAAAATCTCTCTTTTCCTTTCCTTGTCTTCACTACACATTACTCAAATGACAAAGTCCTGTTGCAATCAGATTTCTACAATGGACTAGCCACCTCCACCCTCAGTTAAGTACCCTTAAACTTCTAATAAACTTTTCACTTTTCTATCAACTTTATCAAAGTGTTTAAATATTACTGCATGTAAGACTGATCCCTGAAAATCAAGACTATGTCAACATGAAATTATTACTATGATCACACCTTTCTGCAGTTGCATATCTGTCTCATATTGATACAACTCATTTTTATTTTTAAAATTTTTTTTAAAGCTTTTATTTATTTGAGAGAGAGAGAGCACAAGTGGTGGAGAGGGAGAAGCAGGCTGCCGCCTGAGCAGGGAGTCCAATGCGGGGCTTGATCCCAGGACCCCTGGATCATGACCTAAGCCGAAGGCAGATGCTTAACCGACTGAGCCACCCAGGCACCCCTATTTTTTAATTTTTAAAAAGATTTTATTTATTTATTTAAGAGAGAGTGAGTGAGAGAGAGAGCGCAAGAGCAGGGAGGGGCAGAGGAAGAGGGAGAAGCAGACTCCCCACTGATTGCAAAGCCTGACACCGGGCTTCATGCTGGGCTTGAACTTGATCCCGGGATGCCAGGATCATGATCTGAGCTGAAGGCAGATGCTTAAGCAAGTGAGCCACCCAGGCGCCCTGATACAACTCATTTTTAAACCAGTGTCATGGGGGATCAAAAGCACTATCATCTTGGTAAAAGTATAATGAATCTAAGACTTTCTTCTAGCTTACAAAGCCCCAGAAAAAGATCATTCTTCATAAAAATAAATGCTGTTTCATAATGAACATGTTCTCTGATCAAAAATATGAACTTTTGGGGAGCTTGGGTAGCTCAGTCGGTTGGGCGTCTGCCTTCGGCTCAGGTCATGACCCCAGAGTCCTGGGATCGAGCCCCACATTGGGCTCCCTGCTCCTGGGAAGCCTGCTTCTTCCTCTGCCTGCAGCTCCCCCTGCTTGTGTTCCCTCTCTTGCTGTCTCTGTCAAATAAATAAATATTAAAAAAAAAAGGGGGGCGCCTGGGTGGCTCAGTCGTTAAGCGTCTGCCTTTGGCTCGGGTCATGATCCCAGGGTCCTGGGATCCACATCGGGCTCCCTGCTCCGCGGGAGGCCTACTTCTCCCTATCCCACTCCCCCTGCTTGTGTTCCCTCTCTCGCTCTCTCTGTCAAATAAATAAAGATTAAAAAAAAAAATAAGAATATGAACTTTTACACAAATACCAGAAGGCCATAACAAAAAAATTTATTTCCTGAAAAAAACTCAAATTTTCAAATCTAAATCTGTCTCTTCATCCTTCTGAAGTATAGCTCATCTTTCTCAATAAAGTTTAACACAACCACAACAGGTTACACACTACTGTATGCAAAGATTGAGACTCTCAAAGGTTAACCAATAGTACTTACTCTTGTTTTATCAAACAGTTCTGAAACTTTGAGAAAAAACCTGGAAGGGAAAAATATTTCATCAGAAGCCAGCTTTGAAATGACTTTTCATTTCAAATGTTCAGAGCATATACCCCCAAAACCATATTAATAATGAACTTTCTTATTTCACTGCAGTAATATTTAATGGTCTTGTTCACCACAGACTTCATTAGAACAACACCTCTATACTTCCATATAACAGATTGAAAACTGTTAAAAAAATCTTCCCATTTCAAGGTAACAGTCTAAGCCATACATTTATTTATGTATGTAATATATACTTTTTAAAGTAACCTCTACACCCAAGGGGGGGGTCGAACTCACAACCCTGAGCTCAAGAGTCACGTGCTCCACTGACTGAGCCAGCCAGGCACCCCAAGCCACACATTTAAATTAAAAAATTTTTCCTTATATTCTTTAGCAGAATGTCACATAATAATAAATAAAGCCTGTATCTTCAAAATTACTATAGAAGTATAGAACAATCGGATCCAAAAAGGCTGACTTAAAAGGAAAACACTAAAGTTGGAGCAGCTCTTGAAGTTATCTGATACTTATGTGTTAAACATCTTCAAGTAGAGCTGCTTTGTTTTAGAAAATAACAGAAATGGGGGCGCCTGGGTGGCTCAGTCGTTAAGTGTCTGCCTTCGGCTCAGGTCATGATCTCAGGGTCCTGGGATCGAGTCCCGCATCGGGCTCCCTGCTCAGCAGGAAGCCCCCTCTGCCCCTCTCCCTCACTCATGCTCTCTCTCTCAAATAAATAAATAAAATCTTAAAAAAAAAAAAAAAAAGAAAAGAACAGAAATGAATAACCAGTTTCTATCTCTGAATTCATGTTCACTTTTAACTAAATAGCCTATCTCTCAAATGCTGACACCAACTAAAAAATATCCCAATGCCAAACCATTAAAGGGGTATTCTGTGAAATAATATGTAATTACCGGTGACATTATAACTGGATTGGGCAAGTACTACTAAAAGCTAAAACACTATTTTATGACCTTTGTTTTACCAAAAAGAACTTGATTTGACAGGTTTATGTCCAATAACTCACGGCAAGGTTGGCTTTTTCTTATCAAAGAGTTAGAGACTAACTCTTTGGGAAGATAGCATGTTAATTAATGTAAGCTATATATAGTATCTTGTTTTGCCGAAAAACCTGGATCTTACATGTCTACTAAGACGGGATATACTAGAAAAAAGTTCAAGGATATGGTTTAGAAAAAGGCATTAAGTATGAAAATAGTTTTGCCACTTAAAATTGAAAAAAAAGTTGGATTATTTTTCAATGAAGAGTTGGGTTTAAACAATATTATAGGAACAACTAAAATTAACTATGGTTAGATTAATGTGAAAAACCAGTATAAAGTAAATAAACAACAGCTATGTATGCAAACATCCAGAGAGCATTTCTATACTAACATGCATAATACTTCCCCATCAGGTCACTCTAGGACTGCCCTAAGATTCATTAAACTTATAATCTAGAATAGCCAGCCTCTTTAAAAAGTATAAACTGATAACATCACATTTTACTTTAGAAGTCAATTTGGCCTCCAAAAAAATACATACAAATATATATTATATTCTAATTCCAAAACATTTATTTATAATAAACTTCATCAAAACCTAAGAACATTTTGACATAAATTCTGTCTTCCTCTTCCTTACATACATAATCAGCCAATTTTCATCAAATAAAACTTTGCAAATGTTAAAATTATATAAAGCCAATTTTTACTTTTCAGATTTAAAAAATAAGAGAGAAATGGTAGAGAAAAAAATGACACTGATCCAGGTTTATAAGAAGCGCCTTATTATTGATGTATTTTGAAGAAGATATTCTAAATGACTCTCGGGTCAGAAATATTCTGTGTGTCCAGGCTGCCAACGAAATTTTTGTTTTATTTAATGTTTCAAATCAGAATCCTTACTTGCATATATCTGTAGAATCCTGAGTTCCTAAAGCATATAATGAAGAACCAATTCTATTGTAATCATCTGCAGCACCTATGGAAAAAAATTTTTAGAATGTATTTATTCATTGATTCCAAAATACTTACTGAGCACCTACCTGCCAAACAATGTGTATGCAGTATGAAATACCCCAAGTCTGGTGAAGGAAATGACAACAGCTATATTATAACTTGATGAATATTATATTAGAAGTAGGAACAAACTACTCTGGGAGCCAGGGAAACAGATGATTCCACCTGAGTAAGTTAGGGAAGGATTTACAGACACTACTGAATGAGTCAGAACTTGTAGGATAAGCAAATCTTTACCAGGCAAAATGGAGGGGACAGCATGGAAAAAGGCCAATGAGACATAAAAGAATACAGTATATTCAAACAGCCTTCTAGGAAGAAGGCACTATAGGGTATAGAAGACAGTGGACAGAGCTGAAGATGGAAAAATAAACTGGAAGTATTCTAGGGGGAAAAAACAGGTTTTTGTAAGACACGATAAAGTTTGGATTTGATCTTGTAAGAATGGGTATTATTAAACATTTTAAAATAACAGTAGTGGTAAAAACAACCATTAAGGATTTTAGATAAAAAATTCTGCTGCCTGGAATAAAGATTAGAAATGGAGACACAGAAGGCTGAGTAACCAACTAGGAATTTGTTGTGTCAGATACTGATGGTCAGGATCAAGTTAGCAAAAACAGTGACAGCAGAGAGGAACAAGAAAGCTAGAAGATATTTAGGAAACCTAATAGGTAGGATTTACAAACAAGAGACCTAAGGTAGGAGGGAAAATTATGGAGCTTGGGAAGCTAGATGAATGGTGGTAGCACCATTATCCTTGGGTGCTAGGAAGCGAAGTATTCAACTTCAGCACAATACTTTTCCCAGGGCTCACCCCATGGGACAACTTGTTGAGAAAAGATATCTCGTTTCAGAGAAAGGATAGTATAAGTGCAATGGTTAAGAGCATAGAACTGGAACCAAACTGCTTAGGGTCCAATCCCAATTTACCAGCTCTACGACCTCGAGCTTATCACTTAACCTGTGTATGCCTTGCTTTCCTTATCTGGAAATGGGGATAATAATGGTACCAGCTCCGCATGATTACTTGGACTAAATGAATTAATAAATGTTACTATAGGGGCGCCTGGGTGGCTCAGTC